TTTGGGGGAGAAACAGCTCTCTAAACATTTTACCCTTCACTACTGTGAGAGGTGATGGGCCGCTTCCCGTCCGGAGAGCTCTCGGCTGCGGTTGAAATGACGTCCCGCAGCACTCCGTTACTTCTTTCACCCTCTTGCCCTCACACCACGAGACGTCACCCTTTACAGGCGATGAGGGAGCCCGGTGCCCACATTGCGAACTAATTGTCCCAACACAGCTACTAAAGCTAATCTTTACCATCTCTGAGTTAACCCACGTAAGACGGCGAGGAAGAAACCGACGGCCTGGACGGCAGACTTACTGTGTTGGTGGATGGCGCTCTTGGGAAAAAGGTGCGGTTTCATTGGAGGGTGGCTGGAGGAGTCAAGGTGCCAGTTCTCTCTCTCTCTGTCTCTCTCTCTCTCTCTTTCTGTCGTTTTATCCACGTCTATCGCTCCATCTCGGTCTCTGTCGAGAGCCAATCCCCAGGAGACTTAAATCAGTTGGTCGGACGAAGGGGCCGCATCCCGATGGAGAGAGTGGGAGTCACCTGGAGTGAGGTTTGGAAACTGTCGGCCCACCGTGGGTTCTCTACCAGGACTGAGACTCTCTCTGTCCGGCAGGGCCTAGCTCCACATTCTGTGTTCTCTGTTAATCTCTCAACAAAAGCTATGACACAAGTTCAACAGACTATACAGCCAGCGACCCGTCACGTGGCGCTGGCAAAACTGCTTGGTCGACTTTTTACGTTTTTTCCCCCCCCCCCGTCGTTTCCCAGTGTCCACCCGTGAATGCCCATGTGCAGATGGAAACGAGAACAGGAGACAAAACAGCTGTTGTGTTTCGACGGGTTATTTTTATTTATTTTTTCTTTGTGCACCTTAGCAGACAAAGCGGTCTCAGAAGACAACAGGGTAGGACTCGACAATGGAGAGGTGTCTCCGGTTGTTTTTGTACTCGCATTAAAGCTGACATCACTGCGCTCTTTAGGGTCATAGCCACAGTATTTCGACACTTTTATGGCTCCTGAAGCCAAAGCGGCTTCTGAGTCAGAGCAAGGGGGGCCAACCCGCTCCTTCTACTGCCGTCCATCTCCACAGGTGTCGTCCTTTCCACTTAACGTCGCCGTATATCAGTGGCCCTGTGTTGTGAGGCACTTCCTTGACTGTTATCTATCAGCTCCAGTCTTTCTGCAGTAGCATATGATCACCTAGGCTGACCAGAACACTGCGACGCACTTTAAGGCCCTGTCGTTTCGACGTTTCACTTCCTCCATAGCGTACATACTCTGTGCACATAGTTCGTACCCGAGTATTTACAAGGCAGAAGCTGAAAGTATCCCACATTCAGACAGTACGAGCTACGCAGCTGATGATTGTTAGCGGGATCAAAACAAGCTCACCAGATATATAATAAATGTTCAATACATGTTATTTGTGTATTTTGTGTCCGTTAAATGTCTAAATGCTGTTGTTTTGTCTCTCGTCTGATTCAGCAGTCGTATTTAATTGTACGTAATGGCAAGGAACAATAAAATTTAGCCCAAAAAAGTCCTGCTGTTGGACCGAACGGATGATGTTTTATGGGATAATGCAATAGAACAGAGAGTTGCTCGGTAAATGTTATCCAGCAAAGGATATTTATGTGGGATATTAAATCCTCCCAGACTAAACTCTTGTTTCCTCTTGGTTCGTGCAGCGCCTTGCAAAACTGTAGATACTCCTTGTCCTTTTTCCACATATTGTCACTTTAAAGCCACAAACTATATTAGATTTTGTTTCAGTTTGTGAGTCAGAACAACAGAAACGTGGCAAGAATACAATTTACCAAGATGTGACATGCAAGAAGAGTTTGTGCATGTCTCCACCAGTTTTTATCATCTAGATGTTTTTCTCTACAAAATAGCTCAAGCTCAGTTAAGTTGGAAGAAGAGTGTCCATGAGTATCAATTTTCAGCCTTTCCCACTGACTCTGGATTAGATTTAGATCTGGACTTTCACTGAGCTTCTTCACATGAATATACTCTGATCTGAACCATTCGATTGTAGCTCTGTCTACCTACATGGTGCTGCAGAGAGATGAGCCACTGCCACCAGTTTCAAGTCCTTCTTTTCGCTTTTCCTGCAGAAGAAAACAATTCCCACATCGTGATACTGCCACTGCCATGTTTCACAGTGACAGGGAGGTGTTCAGGACCACCGGCATCCATTTTTTTGTTCTTTCTCAACACGTTTGCTACATTCCCTTCATCGCTCATTGAGAACTGGCAGCTACATACAAACACACATTGCATTTGTCAGATTTTCATTTTATATTAAAAGTGTCTAATTTTCCTTCCATTTATTACCTTAACGGTCCTGTAAGATGCATTAAAATTTGTGGTTGTAACATTGTGCGAAAAGGTTCAAGGTCTATGAATGATTTTGCAACGCTCTGCAGTTTATGTTCATGTGTCAGTAAGTGTCAAACCTTTTCCTAGCTGTGGTCTGTGTATATACGTCTCATGCCATTCAATGACTGCCAATAAAAGAACCTGTCCAAACCCAGAAGTGACGTCTTGTGATTTTTTTTTTTTCTGGTGAGGTTAAAATGATTTACTGATCTGTTTTTACCAGCTGGGTCGCTGTCAGAACATGCAGCGGGTCACAGACAAAAGCATAACAAGCAGCTGAATGATTTTTCCAGATTAGCCTGTTAAAGGAGCCAGGTTTGTGCTTCAGACTGGTAGCCGGGATGTTCTACGTATTTGTGCTGTCGAGGAAACGCCTCAGCTTGCAGCCGTTCGCCGGGGAAGGGCACGGCGGTCTCTGCGTGAGGCCCAGACCGTGATCCTCTCCTGGCAACCTTTTGTTCATTCTGCCAGACATGGTAATGTGGCATTTGCAACAGGTGGCTCCTATAAGGTCAGGGCACAGTGTGACTGTCACACACCCCTCCCAAGGTCCAAATATCGTGTGACAAGGCAACACAGCCCGCCCCAAGAAATCACCAGGTTTGTGTTATTTAACCTTTCCTTTGCAGGATTGGTTTATTTCTGTGTTACCAGTGAAATATCAATTTCCTCAGTGCTACTGTTGAAGCAGAGCTGCAGATTTTAAGCTGAAGGAGCTTCACAGCTTCACTGAAGAAACTTCTCCACCGCTGGATGTCCAGAATTACAAATTCAGAGTTTAGTCTAAGACCCCATGCTGTATAAACAGCCTCCAATATGTAGAGGAAAACTCATTTTACAACACGATTCTCTTTTTTGAGAACGCTTATCACTCTCTGGATGTTTATTGCTAAAGCTTGTTTTAAAGAGAGAATATGTTGATGTAGTGTATGTTCTCCTTGACTCTCTTTAGCATATGCAACTACATCCTCGCCAGTCGATAAGTAATTCCAATATTCATCCATTGATTGTCTATATCTGCTTTCACTAACACAGAGATAAGCAGTTTTAACAGAAAGGCACCACATACTAACACCTGTGGCCAGTGCAGAGAGGGAACTGGAATATCCAGTGAGAGACCTATCATGCACAGGGAGAACAGGCAAACTGTGGGTGTGTTTCAGCATTTCTCATCTTGTAAGGCCCATTTTCCCAATAGATATTACATTGTAAGGATCAACTGTTCCATATAGGGTCCAAAACTCAGGTTTCACACAAAGACATGCTGTTGTAAGGTTAGAGATTAGAGGTTTAGAACAACTGTGTGGATTGAATTTAGGGTTAGGCATTTACTGGTGACAGTTTAGGGTAAGCATCAAGGTTAGGCTATAGAAATGAATGAAAGTCAATGAAATGTTTGTGTGAAACTCGAAAGACACAATATGTGTGTGTATGCAGGTGCACTTGTACATACTTCACACAAAGGACCACTTTCACAATATTTAGCAATATTTGCTGTATTCTAGTAGTTGGGTTCAGAGGTAAGGTGTGACTTAGGTTTGGGTTAAGGTTAGAGTTAGGAATAGACTAGTAAGTGGCTAGGCATAAATGCAGAACTAAAATGAATAGAAGGCAATACAAGGTCCTCAATATAGGATTGTGCGTTCCAGCTCCTTTAAAAAAGGAAGAAAAAAAAAACACAAATACATTCAGATTTTTAAGGTTTTGATACTGTTAGTTTGAGACCAAAGACCAGAATGGAACCAGCAGTTTTAGAGCTCTCAATTTTTTTCTTTATCTCCAGCTTCACACACTTCAATCCATTTTACAGCATGTCATGCAGCCAAACAAGAAGAGGGAGAGTCTCTATCTTATCTGAACCACCTGGCTTTTAAGGGATTGGCTTTCACCAGAACTAATTAAAGGGGTGGAGACATTTACATTTACAGAAAGAAAGAACAAACATTTGTACTAAACTATATTCTTAAAAATATGTTTACACAGTTACAATTAACTCAAACAAAGCTAAAAACAAAAACAATCTGGATCCAAACAAAATCAAAAATACATCTCTCCTCCCTCTCAGACAATGAATTTTCCCAATGAGGCTGATTGAAAACACCAGGTCCTTGTCAGCACTGCTTATGGGCGCGCTTCCATGGCAGCGCATGACCAGATGACCTCAAAAAGATGAGAAGATGGTTAAAATAAAGTAAATAAATCAAGTTACTTCCCCCAAACACAAAATACATTTACCAAAGAAATTAGAATATATAAAGTACACAAAAAAACACCTGTTAGGGAGGGGGTAAATCCCTCAGATACAAATTAAAATTACTATATTTGTATGAGACCAAACAGGTTTCTAATACACACTGATCCAATCCATGCATCAAGTGTAAACTCTTGCTCTACAACATTACTTATAACAATTAATAATAATTATTCACTGCTATTAACTGTTCAGGTATTAGGCGACAAACTAACCTTCAGATGATCAGATGAAGGACATGTATCTCAAATGTGGTTTAAGCCTTTTGCAGGATTTGTTTGCCTACTTCATAAATTTCAGTTAATTTCTGTAGATAGTTTTCAGCCCTGGTGCCTTTTTTAGTGAACTTAAAATCATGAAGCCTGTGAGAAATAAACATTTCCTAATAAAATTACTATAATGTTCATGTTGCAACAAACACAAGAAATTCAATGAACTGTGGAGTACAACTAAAAGAAGGAATTACAATTAATGTTTAAAATACAGTATTTTCGCTAAATTTCCCTGTTACGTATTCATGAACCCTTTTTACAGGTAAGAAATATGAAGTTGCTGCAGAGATTTTGTGGATCATTAGTACATGCTCTTCATCTTCAAAAAAATATTAATGAAAGAGCAAAAAATATTTAAGACCTGTTCCTACACAAAAAAATAAAAAACATTTTTTTCCCCCTGATATCATGGGTTAGTCTGTCAGCTCATTCCAGTAACAGGAAGCCATGTTACAGCAAACACTCAGCAAATTAAACCTGTTTCACCGCTTGTTGTTTAGTGATGTTCAAGAACAACAGACTGGAGGAAGATCTCACACATTTTCAGAACATCCTCCATAACCAGCATTACTGACTGGTTTTGTCAGTAACCAGCTGCTTCACCCAGCTTCCTGTCATCAGACTCAGCACTGATGCAGCCGTCCTTTTTCTCCACAGCGTTAACCACATTGTAGAATTTGTTTCCTAGTTCATGAAAACGTCCTTCAAGTTCTTTAATTAAAGCCTGAGGAGAAAGAAGGAAAAATGGGATGAGGTTAAAGCTATGCAGTTTGTTGTCTGATCCTGAAAGAGTCACAATTATATTACATTGTCAAAGCTGGGTTCTAAATTTGCTTTGTTGTTAGGGTCAACATAGACAACACGAGCATCAATCGCCTCCTTGAGGCTCTTCCCAAACCAAAGATGGTTGATGAGAGCCTGGAAGAGAAAGAAAACATCCTGATGGGAATGTAGATTATAGTACAGATAATCGTGATGACAGAGCTAGCTATGAGCATCAATGAGCAGCAGATAATGCTAAATGCTCTTAGTGTGATTGCCACGTACAGAGGCTATCCCTGTCGTGATCATGCTCCCACCACTCGCTCCAATCACCAGCGTCTTCGATTTAGACTTCAGCACAACAGGGGCCATGGAGGATGGGGGCCGCTCCCCTGGAAACACAACAAAAGCAATGAGTGACAACACAGACAACTGCAGTTCAGAACGATCACTGTCAGGAGAACAAGAGGAATGATTGGAAACGCTTTCAGCGGAGCGCCAGTGAATAAATGTGAATCAGAGAGAAAACAACATTAAATTAATCTTGATGTCTCTTCAAATTCTACTTTATTTTTCTGTAAATTTAAGTTTACACATTTATGTAAACTTAAATGTCAAATGCATTTCCTGACTCTTGTTTTGTTTTGCTTTATTTTCTTTTCTATTTCACATTGTCAGAAACTAGTGATTGTACTGCCCAATCCTCCCTCTGCTTTCTCCGTTTCCCTCTGCACAAATCTTGATTACTACTCCTGTACAGGGACGCAAATTCTCTCACAGAGTTCTTCTAGTGGATATAAGTAAATAAGATATGTTTTCTGCAGTGAGCACTCAGAATTAACCGTTCTCCATTTTCTTTCCCCAATTCCAGAATTTCATATGTGAGCACAATTTTCCAAGACAACACTTTAAGCTAAAGGTCTTTTCACCAAGCAAACAATTGCTATACTGATGAGGAGTTTGTTGAAGAGTTTAAATGAACTTTGATTTATTCACTTGTATAGGAGAATCTTTGAAAGTTTTGTGAAAATTAAAACGAAGTCATTCAGTGGCTTAATTCACCATAGTTGTAAAAAATTCTCTTTATGAAAGCTTAAAAGACAAACTAGCCAGCAGGCTAAATCAAAGAGCTGAAAATAAATTCTATTAATACATATAGATAAACTCTAGGAAAGAGACAATGGTTACAGTTCCAGACTTTGAAAATGTCAAAACCAGCACACATGGTTTATCCATCTCCATCACCTCCAAGAAATGAGGTGACAGCTGGTAAAAAAAAAGTTGTCTTCTGGATTTAGCCAAGCAAACAGCTCTGTTTTCATGGTTCATTAGAAACAAGTGAAATGACAGTCAAGGTAGCAGTTCTGAGTATGTAATCTGATACAGAAAGGCTTGATATCACGCATATCATGTTTGTCACATATGAAATTAAACCCGAGTAGATAATAGAAGCAAAATAGAAGCAAAAGATGGGTACAAATCATCCCAAAACATTGGAATATTCATTATACTGAAATCCTGATTACATAATTTAAAAAAAGTTAATGACAGCTTCTTACATGTCAGAAATGTTCACTTTGACGCTGCAATTATAAAGACAAATTATATGTAAATTCTTTAAATCCAGGGCTGTATGTTGTTGCAAACACTGTATTAGGATTATTTTCAATTTAACTTAACTTGTAAAGGTTAAAGGGTGACATATTAATGTAATTACCTGGAGATATTTTATCAATAGATCTGTTGCAAAAGTCCAACAGCTGGTTGTTAAGTATGATTCCAGTGTTTGGAGAGTAGACCTTGGAGCCAAATCTGTTAAAAAAAGATGTTTAACTCAACTTAGTGTAATATTTTGCGATTAGCATGGCTAGCAATACTAAAACAGCCTCTCTGTCATGATCTGTGGTTTGGTGAGATGAGGGAAGATGCAGGCAGACCCAGTATGAAGATGAATGATGGTTTAATGATGAATAATCCATAAATGAACAGAATCCAAAACAGACTGAACAGGGAGCAATGGGGAAGACACACACAACGAGGATCCAACAACAGACAAAGACAACAGGTGGGTTTAAATACACATGGAGGGTAATAAGGGAACTAGACACAGCTGGGAACAATCAATAGGGAAGACACAGAGACTCACAGGGGAACAGACTAATAGACAGAAAAACCTCAAAATAAATAAACAGAAAACAGCTCACAACAGTACAGTAATCCTGGAAAAAGCAACTTATCCACAACGCTTCTGCAGTGTTTAGCATTGTGCTTTTACTGATAGAATAAAAACTAAATTTTGGAGTGCCAACATTTAGTACTCTAGTAAGCCAATCAACCTATTTCCTATTGCATGTATTTTTATTGATTATCTCCCTCTCTCTCTCTCTCTCTCTCTCTCTCTC